TTTTAAATTCAGAGTTGTCCTTCTCCTAGACCAGTTGCCATCCAAGGCTATAGAACCCAGTCTGTCCTGCTATTTTACCCATAGCTGGAAGGAGAAGAGGATTCACACCTTTCCCGAGGTTATTAGCACGTAAGTGAATGTAATGGATCCGACTGGAATTCGAACTCGGCTCTCCGATTCCTCATTCCACCGTCCCTCCTATCTATCTATCTATCTATCTATCTATCTATATATATATATATATATATATATATATATATATATATCTATATATATATATATATATATATATATATATATATTAGTCAGCCTCAATGTGAAGTGATCTTTAATATTATTTATACTTGGAAACAGTCTTTGCAATGATTGTACGAATATTGGTATATGTTCTCTTTCTGCGGCCATCGTAAGTTTAGTGTGGTTTGGGTTGAAATATGATGCAAAGTAATTTTTGAGACCAGAACCTTTCTTCTCCGTAGGTTTTCATTGAATGATATGATTGTGATTTTTTACATTTCTCCATATTCTAACATATTGTCTGCTTGGTTTCTGTTGTGGCCTGTTTAGGGGCCAGAAAGAGATACTCGGAATACGAAGGTCGGTTGAAAAAAAGTATATTGAAGATATATATAAAACAATAGTGTGAGTAATAAGTAGATTAGCACTGTGTCTACTACTTCCCTTCACACTCTGCGCTCCCGTCCGACTCTCGCAGTTTGTATTTATGATAGAAGGGAGAATTCATTATACTGTAAGAGGATTTACCACAACAGTTTCATTAATATCATTTCCAATTTTCCGGAGATACGGATTTCTCAAACTATTAACTATCAAATTATTAAAGTGTTGTGGTAGGATCCCCCTTAATTTGCATAGTGAAGTACCGACCATATAAATATGGCTGGTACCGGGAAGAGAGTGTGGAATCAAGAGATTCAACCAGAGACTCTGCCCGACTGCGACTCAATCAACACATTCTCCAGGAACGGTCTTACCAGGAATATACAAAAGACTATATGCAAATATTGTGTACACTTTCTTGTTTCAATACATTTTGTTCTAAGTACATTTTGTGTTGCATTATTATTCCATGCATTAGTCAAGTTTCAACATAAAGTGAAAAAAAGCTTCTATTTTCCGCTCTGGTTTTACATTGAGCTCTCTGGATTGCATCCTCCTTGGGATTATCCATACGGATTAACAAACTTTTCATTACCTAACTATATATATATATATATATATATATATATATATATATATATATATATATAAGCAAATATATGGATATAGATCCGACAGTATGAAGAAAAATATATACGGAAAAAACAAAACAAAAATCCTTATATACGATTATGTTGTTTTAATGTTAATATGTCAACGTCTGACGTTTCGGTCTAATAAACCATCTTCAGGACATATTCATAAATATAACTTTATCAATACAACATGACAAAGACGATGTACATTAGAACAAGACTTATCCAAACAATAACTGAAAGTTTTATAATATCAGCGCTCCGTTTGAAACATGGTCACGCTGTGAAAACGTATTCCTACAATTTTGAATATTTTGAATGAAAAATGAAAAGAATTCTATTTTGAACTAAAATTTATATGTACGCTTGTCGAGCATTAATTACTATAAATAATATTTTAATCGTTACGCATGTTTGAGATGATATCCTTGACGTATTAAACAGTGAAATTAATGCCAGCCGGTCCGGTTATCTGCAATTCCTTAAATATATTCTTAAATAAATTTTCTTTGTATGAAAAACTATCGCTTGATCCATTTTGCTTTACCGCTCGGCCGCGAATAGCGTCACTGTATGAAAAGTTCTATTATTCCTTCTAAAAGAAAGCACATCATCTTCATCCAGATTGTTTAACACTCAGTTTCGTATCCAAAACGTAAACAAAGCAATTCCTAAAGAGTTAATGGATTTATTTTTAGTCCGGCATTTTTTTTGCTTCAAACATTATTATAGCAGATATTTCGTATTTGCAATAGACACCTTATTTTGCTTTACTAAGATTTATTAATATATATAAACAACATGCCTGCCCGCACACACAATTCCGTAAAATACTTGTCGAAAACACAACTATACTTCGACATGAAAACAATAGACAAAAACTAAAAATACTTGAAGCATTATACATCAAACAGTTAAAACCCAACCTAAACAAAATCAATTATGGCATCTCTACAAATATTCTTAAATGTCTATAATTGGTTTATACCAACGGGTTTCCATACTTCATTCTCCAATTCACTCTCGTGTGGTCATGTGTGACGTCATGAGATGCGGTGCGATTTTCGCTTCTAGCGTCTTATATGCGCGTGTTTATCGTTGCTTAGAGATTATCTATGTAAACAATGACAGACTATCATCACTGTCGTGTCCGTATATTGTTTAAAATGTTTGTAATTTACATCTTGATAATGGCTTAAGTAAGCCGAAAGCTTAGATTATATTAAAAAATATGGATCAATATTGTGAATTTCTTTCTTTGTTTAATGATAATGTTATCAAACTTATCAGATGTTACGAACAAATTTTGCATAAAATAAATAGACAACACCTGTCTATATTATTTAATGAAACGTGTATATATATATATATATATATATATATATATATATATATATTGATATGAGGTATTGAAATTATGTACATTATTCGAACTGTTGTCCTCATCTTTGTTGCCATATTCATGACGTTCGGCTGTTGTTTATTCCATCAGAGTAGATTGTTTTAATGACATGTTTCTTCCGGATATCCTTGTTTTCTCCCCTTAACTTCCACTCTCACCACCCAAACTGTGTAAAGAAAGGGGTTGTCTCCTGCTTACAAAATCTAAATATATCAGTGGCAACTCGGAGATATATAATCAAGAAATGGTCAATATAAACAGTGCCCTACAACGTAACAACTAACCTGTGTACATGTCAGCATCTCCGACACACTGGGATAGAAATGTGCAAGAGAATAACAAAACTCAGAAAACAGCTTTAGTCTACCTACCCTATGTGAAGGGATTATCGGAGAAAATACAAAAGGGTCCATATAACATCAGGAAGACCTTCAAAAGTGGTTCGACACCTTGCAGATAACTCTTCCGAGTAAGACACCTCCCCATAGAGGAGAACATTACTAAGTACTGCGTGTGCGTAATCCCGTGCAGCTGTGGTAAAAAATATAAAGGAGAAACAGGGCGCCCCCCTTAAGGTAAGACTACAAGAACCACGAGGCGAAATAGAAAAATCAGGCATAGCTGACCACGTATGAAGGGAAAAGTGAGATCACCACCCTCCCCCTGTGGCATGAGGTTAAAATAATAGACCAAGGAAATACGAAGATTTAAGGAATCAGCACATATGCTAGGCCACAAAAATATACAAAGCCGGTCAAGTATTATAGTTGGTAAAATTTTTATCGGGTCTCCATCGAAGTATTTTTGACGTAAAGAATTATGTTCTTTTTTTTTAATCATGGTTGGCATTTGTAAAATCAGAGGTATAGTCAGATTTGTTCCTGTGCATTAAAAGCGAATTTAAATGGTTGTCCCAACGTTGATTCCTCTTGTGTTCACAGATACAGGCTTAAGTCTAACTAACGAAAATCAAACAACACAAAAATAAAAATTCCAGAAATTTTTTTTCTATATCTCATTCTCTGATGAAGATTTAATAAAAGTAAAAGTTGTATTTATAGACGTTTTCAATTTGTTTTTTATCATACCATATATATATATATATATATATATATACAAAATGTCTGTCCAGAAAAAATTATTCAATCCCTCACACTCATTACTGTCTTTTCTTTAAATGAGAAAAGAGATGAGGATAGATTTTTGAACGGTTTGTCTCGTTTTCATTGGTGATTTCGTTTTATCTTTGAAATTTATCAATAATCCTCTTTTATAGGGGTTGATCGAAAAGCTGACCACTTAAGAGGAATTACGTCATCATTTTTTTTTCTTTTTACATTTTTGATAATTTTCAACATATCTCCGTTTCTTCATCATACTATAAATAAGTTTTGTACAACTACGACTGGATAACATTTATTAATCGATTGATTTGGTCTTTATAGCTTATCAAGCACTTGCAGAAAAATATTTAGGAATGTAAGAATCATTGTTTTTCTTCGAGTCAGTTATACGTTAGCAATTTTTTAGAATAACAATTATTTTTCAAGGTATAAGTCCTACTATTTAACCCATATCTAGGAGGAGGAGATGGATTCATGCCTTTCAAAAGGGAATTTGCTCAAAAGTAAATGCAACGAATACTACTAGAATTCGAACTCGGCTCCTTGTGTTCTTATCCTGAGTCGCTATCCCTTACACCAACCGCGTAGTATTTAGAAAGAAATGAGAAAGATAAGGATAAATGTTAGTAATTATAAAAGCATTCCTGGTATGACGATGAACTCCATCCGGCAGCAAGACCTCTGATCTGGAGATAGGAGATTTTGGGGAGCGTGGAACTACCTCTTAATTCCTATTGTTTCCAGTCTCACCCTGAACCAATGTTAGGGTACCATTTATGGGCAAATAATGACACCCCCCCCAAAAAAACGCTATGAAAGTATAAAAATACATTTTTATATAAAAAGGACCAACAGTACATATTTATAGTAAAATGACAAGCAATACAAAATAACCAGCAATACATTGTATCTGTTGTTAAAAGTATACAATTGCGTTCAAAATATATTTTGTAGAAGCCATAGAATTGTTTTCAGGGGCACCTCAACTTGATTTAATGGTTAGCAAGTTTGTCTCGCTACATCACTTACGATGATTGATCGGCATTGTGCTACATCTATGCTACGATTAGAAAATCACCATAAAATTGCGTACAAACTATTTAGATTTCGCCATTAAATAACCCATAGATGTTTATATGCCGTTAAACAAAACCAACCAACAATCGTCATTATAACAGCAAAAATGCAGATAATTTTTTTTTCAAATTTGGGACTTACCAATTTCTGAAATATTCGGTTTGTAATCAAGGCAATGATCAGCATAAAAATGGCCGTGGAGAAATAGAAGAACGCCGAGGTACGAGCGTTGGAAGAAACTGCAGAAAGAAAACTGAAAATCATTGTCTAATCTGGATAATAAAAAAAACAAGAACACACAATATACTTAAACAATACAATTTGCAGATATAGATCAGAAAATTGAACTTATTTTCTCTATCGACAGACTCTTTGCTGATACTCATAGCGAAAATAAATCATCAATAAAAGATGAGACTGTTAATTCACTAGCGTGAGAATCCTCTTCCTAATATGCATTTATGCTATTTTTTTTTATTTTTTTTTTTTTGAGTAATGGATAGCGACTCGGATTAAGGAATCGGAGAGCCGAGCTCGAATTCCAGTCAAATCTAATACCCTTGGGAAATGCATGAATCCTCTTCTTCTAACCCCCCACCCAAGCTATGAGTAAATAGCAGGACAGCTTTCGAGCTATAGGTTTGGATGGCAACTGGTCTACCGCAGAAAGAAATGGCAACCTACTGCGGGGAAAAATCTGCCTCGTCAGTCAGGTATCTAAAGATACATGATCGCCTACGCGTGTCCCACACATGGCACATAACTGACTGACTGATGCTCAGAAGAGAGCGACACGCTATAGTATCAGGGATTATCAGAAACCATTGTTAATGATTTCACTTCTCAATGGATGTTACAGTTGTGTACACCAGAAGCGATATAGACTAAATTTTTCCTATGCAAACAAAACTGTGATACAGTTTAATTTATAAATAAGGTACAAGAATTGATTAACAAGTATCGCTAATGAAAAAAATATCAAACAACTATAACGATATATTGTAATAAAGCTTATGTGACAGATCAGAAATTCGATCTTATAAAGCACAAGCGATTAACATCAGCAAATAATTAAAAAAATAAAACGATTATAACAATGTGGTGTAATAAAAATTATGTAAAGATTCGTTCTTATAATTCACAAAAGATTAGACACAATAATTAATAATAAAAGAGAAATAACAATAACAATAAAGTTAATGACGGATAGAAACTTCCTTATCTAATAATAAAATAGAAACATTATAACAATATACTGTCATAAATGTTCTGTGACAGATGGAAGATTCCTTCTTACTGTATATCGTTATGAGATTAACTACACTATCTCATAATAAAATAGAAACATTATAACAATATACTGTAATAAATGTTCTGTGACAGATGGAAGATTCCTTCTTACTGTATATCGTTATGAGATTAACTACACTATCTAATAATAAAATAGAAACATTATAACAATATACTGTAATAAATGTTCTGTGACAGATGGAAGATTCCTTCTTACTGTATATCGTTATGAGATTAACTACACTATCTAATAATAAAATAGAAACATTATAACAATATACTCTAATAAATAAATATTATGTGACTGATGGAAGTATTCTTTCTGACCAAAGATCTTATCAATCCCAGTATGCCATTTTTATTCCTTGTTAAGTCTAGAACTTCCACCTTTTCTCTTAAAGAAAGCGCATTATGCATTCATTTTAGCATATCCGAATTGCTGAATCACTCCTCTTATACTTACGGACAATTATTTAATAAAACTTAATAAATGCATTATTTCTGGGGTTTAACAGCGGCTAAATGAAAACACGGAAATTTTATCTGCTGGTGGACAAAAAATTTGATTCAAAATTTATTTGGGCGATCATCTTTCATATGACATGTCCTTTCCGGACGTGGATGATCATTGCTCAACACGCCTTTCTATATATTGTTGTTCTGTATAACTCTTGCCCCTTTATCATCCCGCTTTGAACTTTCTCTGCCATCCATTCACTGAGTCTTGTTAAGTAGATCATTCGAAGTTTCCTCTTTGTCTTGTGTGTGTTAAATTCTCCAGGGATTCTTTTCTCGTTGTGGGTTCCAGACATTGCAGTTGTCTCGATATGACAGTAAATATTATTTGACTACTTGTAGTTCCTATTTTCCTTAAAAACTTCTCGAATATATATATATATGTATAGTATATATATATATATATATATATATATATATATATATATATATATATATATATATATATATATATATATATATATATATATATATATATATATATATATATATATATATATATATATATATATATATATATATATATATATATATATATATATATAGCATATATATATATATGTGTGTGTGTATATATATATATATATATATATATATATATATATATATATATATATATATATATTCAGTGCTGTTCGATATAAGTGACTCACCTGTATTTTTTTTACTAAAATTTTTTTTGTCTATTGTTTTTTGGGGTTAGAATAATTTTTAATCTTACTAATATAAAGACCACTTCCCGACCACCTAGTAAAAACGTTTACGCACCCTAAGGTATTCTATTGATAATTATAATTTTGAATATAAATGAGATTTAGGGAAAAACTCTGTGCAAAAAAAGTGACTCACTTATTTCCTGCAACTAGTAATCAATAGAAACATAACTGAACAGATTTAAATAAATAATAATAGAGGTATAATTTATTTATAATAGGTAATATAGTTCGAAATATTTAATAATCTATGGGTCCTCCTTTATTTTATTATATTATCTTTTCAACCTTTTTTTGGTATTGACTTGATTAGGTTCTGGCAAATCTCATCTCCAAGCATTGAATTCCATTCGGATATGAAAATCACAATCAAATCCTCTTTGTTGCTCAACTGCTTTCTTGAGAGCCTGTAAATTTCGCTTGAAGATGGAACAGAGCTTATTTTAACTCAATTTAATTTAAATAATTATATTGAAGTTTTCGGTTCTTGTTTTGAAACATGGGACTTCTTATGTCACGATTTGGAATCATATTTTAAATAAATAATTATATTTATGCTCTACTTTTGTTTCGAGCACTATTTTTTTAAAAATAATAACTAAAATACTAAGGGACTTTGGATTATTTACCTTACCAGTTCCTTCCTATTTTCTATATATTTTCACACACACACACACACACACACACATATATATATATATATATATATATATATATATATATATATATATATATATATATATATATGCTGTCCATAGTATCCATAGTATTCATGGCATTCGTTCGTATATCTCGCTTTAAGTCTCTTCTTCACCCCTGTGGAAAATGTCCAAAACATACTGCCGTACAAGAGGATAGATATGATATTAGCAGTTCAACACGTTTTCTTTGTTTCTAAGGACATTTCCTCATCTTTTATTACTTTGCTTACATTATGGTAGCCACCCTTCGCTATTCTTATGTACCTTCGAATTTGTGCTAAACTTTCTGCTATTTGTTACTACATTCGCTAGGTAGTTAAATTTCTGTATCCGCTTTATTTTGACGCTCATGCCTTAGGCTGTCTCTTTCGGTGACACCAGGCTGTCTCTTTCGGTGACACCAGGCTGTCTCTTTCGGTGACACCAGGCTGTCTTCTTAAAGTTAATGATTAGTGTTTTCTTTTTGCTTTCCTTTACTAAAGTTTCTAATAGTACTTTCAGTTTTCTTTCCCAGACTGCCATAATCTCGTTGTTATCTACATATCTTATGTTGTTAATATTATATCTACTATTAATAAACACTAGTACTTTCCAGTTCTTTTGGGAATTTTCTTGCTGTACAAATGAAATAAATATGGGAAAACACATTCTTTTTGTAATCCTCTATCTGATTCTGTGTAATTGTTCTCTATGTGCATGCAAGACGTTTGTTTCCAGTACAAGTTACTGATTGCTTGAATATAATTCACATATAAATAAAGCTCTTCTAATATTTCAAGTAGCTTTTCGTGCCGTACCTTATGAAAAACCCTTGGGAAATCTATGAAGCAGGGAATATAGATCTTTCTGCATTTGGCTAATGATGAGTAAATGCCAAAGTAAGAAATGGATTTTTTTTCTCAGTTCAAATATCAGAGAAAATATTATCTTTAGCAATGGATCGTATATATGAAAGCCACTTGAGATCTGGAGAAAATCTGAAGTACAACAGACGTTCAAAGTATGGATGCTCATTGGGAGCACGAGCGTTTTGGTCACTGGGCAAAATTTAGGGTGTGAATGGTGATAACAAAACAGACGGTAGCTTCATTTTTTTAAAGCAGCTACTATAATATCCTGGATATCTTATAAATCGGGGTTATTTTAAGATTTTTTTTAAATATCTATTTTATATAGCTTAATAACCCCTCATGGTCTTACGAAATAACAAGAAGGACCCCGTAATGTTGTTTTAAAATAAACTCGGTCATTTCATAATTTATATTTGAAACAAAGCTTACTTGCGATGCTGATAATGGATGCTACTGACGTTAAGATTCCGGCAAAATTCTGAAAAGATAAAGAAAATTAAACAATAATTAATACTGAACTCTATGCAAAACAGAAGTGAAACGTTAATAAATCGTTTGTCCTCTTTTAGGCCAACATCACATTATTTACAGCCAAGTTTCAGTATTTAAAACAAAACTCGGACTAAACAGAACGTCCAACATATAATTACTTTGCGAGGTATTTGAATTTCCAGATAAAATAGATTCATTGCTGCACACATTTTTTATTAATATCCCCATGTTTGTTTCTAAGCTGAATCAAGCAACGCATAATTGAGTGTCAAAATAAACTTAAACGAATACGCAGATAGGTGTAGATCTTAACATCCTATTAGAACAGGTGTTCAGACAAAACTGTTTTCACTCATTGAATACTCACACCAATGACCAAATTTAGTAACTAGTACATATATTTATATCAATCATCAAATATTTTCTGTCTTTCGCCAACATAACTCAGTTATGTCCCATGCGTGATACACGCTTAGGCGATCATGTATCTTTCGATACATGACTGACGAGGCAGATTTTTTCCTGCAGTAGGTTGCATTTTTTTTTTTTTGCGGTAGACCAGTTGCCATCCAACGCTATAGAACCCGGTCTGTCCTGCTATTTAACAAGAGTTGGGAGAGAAGAGGATTCATACCTTTCTTAAGGGTATTAGCACGTAAATGAATGTAATGCATTTGATTGGAATTTGAACTCGGCTCTCCGATTCCTTAATCTGAACCGCTATCCATTACTCCACTGTAATATCACAGAAGTTATAAAATTTCGTCGATTTTAGCTTGACTCAGTAAAGTTGTCAGTGAAATTTTAAACCTCAGAGACATTTTTAAATTTCTGAGGAATTTCTGATAAAGAAGGCGGCATTGCTAAAAATAAATGATAACCTCATGGTGCCATGTCTGGTATGTGTGTTTTTTTTTTTTATTCGTTTCAATCGAAGCAAGTAGATAATGCCACTAAGAATAAGGGGTTACAGGAATTGAATGAGAAGGAGAAGACTTTAGTGGGGAGGATTGAGGAACGAAAAAAGAAGGAACAGGGAGAAGACAAAAGATGGCGATTAACGTTGCATTTAAATATTTTAAGATTTGTAGTTATCAGGGGAGCAAGAAATTGGTAGGGACTTCCACGGGTGAGACGTAAGAGAAAAAAAGCTGGTAGTTGCATCTAGCTTGTTCAACAGTGATACGGTTAAAGCTAGTTGTCAATCTAGTAACGCACTTAAATTCATGCAGTCGAGACAGCAAGGAGTAAAACTAATCAGAAGAGTTGCCATTAAAAACAAAATGAAGCTACGTCACATCGGTGAGAAAGTAACTGAAGTCGAGATGCCTAGTCAGGATCGATTACATTACAGACCATACTTTGATTTTTTTGTCAAGAATCTTAAAATGTACAGCAGGGTCACCAGACTAAATATGGCCACAGTATTCAATACACGGACGAATGTTAGATTTATAAATGTGCAAGATGGATTCTGATGAGAAAATTTTCTGGCGCGACACAGTGAACCAACTTTGCTAACACTAGCCAACTTTATCAGCTGGTTCAACCGTTGAGATCTGTTGTTATCGTCATTCGCTTGTTCCACTGTTAGGGTCTTTAGGGTTAGTCTGAGTCCTCACCTTCGACGTTGCCGCCAAGGGTAACCCTACCAGGAATTCACAACACTCGACGGCATCGCACTCAGCGTCATTGAGACCACGCAACGAAATGTAAATAATACATATTAAATTGCATCACAGCTGCAACAGAAGCCCATGATATTGGATAGCATCTATTTGAAACAGATATGGTTACCGTAGCCAGCAAATGTTTTCCCGGTTTGTAAAAATAAAGAACTTATTAATTAGAATAGATACATGCAGAGTGAGTATCAACAGGTAACGTTTCCACAAGCAGATAGTTTAACAAAGACAAGATGTCCGCTCCTAATGTGTATAATGTCAACCGTCAACAAATATATTGTGTTGTAAAACAAGAGTTTATAAAAGAAAACAAAGCAAAAAACAAAACAGAAATAAAAAAATAAGTCGATAGGAAGGCTAAATGTTGGCCATTAAATACCGAATATTTCCTGTGAAAAAATTATCAACTACATTCGATACATACAAGTACTACGGCACGTGGTGTAATGGTTAGCAAGCTTGTCTCGTTAGATCAAATACTATTGAATAGTGAGTTCGAATCGCACTGTGTGTTCCATTCTTTCGACCTTATGCTACACTTAGAAAACCGTATTGACCAATAGTATCCGGTGTTATCATAAGTGTACGAGACTTATAAACTAGGTCGACTACTCCAGATTGTGTCCTTTGCTTCCGATATCTGTTAAAGATAGGTCCGTAATACCGAGGTACGATTGTATTGATTTGTGACTGGTTAGGCTTTTGAGTAAGCGTTACTTACCACTAATTTTCGACAGAAACGACAGCACAGGCGGTCATTCAGTGGGATTCCCCTGTAAGAAGACTTGTAATAACTTAACAAAATCTGTAATGAACAAGTTTTCCATATAGAAGAGAAATATACTTGATTTTACTTTAATTTCGGTTGCATTAGACCAACTATTTATTATCTGTGTGGTGGTTGAGAAACAGTATATGAAAAACTTTTCAACTGACGCCATCATTACAGCTAACGAGACAGTTTCAGTTTTTTTACAAATATGCACCTTTGCACTGCTTGTTTGTTTGTTTTTTTTTAGCGAATTTGGGATAAAGTTTCAAGTGATACGCTTATTATCGGCTCGACTTTGGTTTTCATGTTCCACAGTCCATTCCTTGGGTAAAATCTGGATATATATAGCTTTTTAGCTTCCATTTTTGAAACATGGTTATTACTGTGTAGCAAAAAAAATATTTTAATTCAGTTAATTTATAATATTAATGCTCAATAAATTTACACATTGAGCACTATTTTGTAAAAAATAAAAATATCAACATCGGATTACATATCTTTCTTTCTTTTTTTTTTTCTTTTTTTATATATATATATATATATATATATATATATATATATATATATATATATATTTTCTTTTATCTTCGCCCAGATGTGGTGATTTTCTAAGCACAAGGCCAAAAATATGGAGCACTTAATGAGGATCGAAGTCACTACGCAGTCGTAGTTATTCTAGCGAGACAAGCTTTCTGAACATAATACCACGTTGAGGTGGACCTATGATCAGATATATAATTCCTCTTACCTCACAAAACCCAATTCACTCTTCTTTCTTGAAAGGTCGGGATATTGCATTTCTCAATATCCTAGATTCAAACAATTTTATTAATGAGGTCATCTACTTTGCGATTGAATAACTTGTTTGTCGTGTCTTATTTGTTTGCCCGATTTCCTCTCTTGCGCCGTCTCTGCTCAGCCATGCCTCTACTTGAATTCTTTTATGGTCAGCTTCTTGCATTCACTTATGCTCCTTAAACGTTCAAAGCTCTCCAATAAGTAGAAATCATCGCCAGTTTTTATATACCATTATTTATTCTAACTTTATTGTAACTGAGATAATTTTCCTGTAATGTGGATTACAACATAAGTAAATGTTATTACTAGAAAGTGATCTATCAATCTGTCTGTATCAGTAAAGTTAATAAAGAAAAGTTATCTATCCGGCTTCAAGTTTCGCAGATATACCATTATTCAGTCGGTATATTTAAGAGCTTTTCTTTAACTTTTGTTGCCTCATTTTTCCTGTTTAAACTTCTATAATTTACTGTACTACGTATTTTTTTAGGTGTTAACGATCTGTGTTATTGTTCTTCTTATTATTATTTACAAATATAAATAGATATGTATGCACACAAATATATATATATATATATATATATATATATATATATATATATATATATATATATATAAGTCAACATAGGGTGTTGCTTCACTGACACTTCTTCGTTTACATACTCTCTATCCTTGATATTACGCGCTTTAATCCATGAATATAGCATACCTTAAAACTATATTCTATCTCTATCTATAAAAGGTAGGATGCGTGTGTGTGTGTGTGTGTGTGTATGTGTGTGTGTGTAACGAATGCACGGTCGCAATTTTCGACAGATTTGCACCAAAATTTACATGCACATTCTCCAAGTTAGCGGTAAGGCCAAGACCGACGTTGCATTTCCCAACTCCCATCGATAGTGGAAATAATCGATTTTTTCATGCTTCTACGGCAATTATTCGTGTAGTTTGCGGCCATTTTGTATTGGCCAAAGTGAGAGCCTATAGCTGGCTGCCACGAATAGGCAGGAAGATTCTATTGGCCAGCGTGAGAGCCAACAGTTGACTGACACGAATGTTAACTAGCATGCTAGCATACTAGCATACAAAAAAAATCGATAGCTTCATTCATCACAAGTGGGAAAAATTTAAATCTGCATGGCACTTTACTCCAATTGGCTCATTCGCTTGCTTAAACTAAACGTTGATTCTGATTCCACAGAACTGGGTTGGGTGTGAAAAAGTATTTGTTGTTAACATTCTTTTTTCATTCAGTTTTCCAGTTACGAGTCCTTTTTTAAAGCTGATCGTTTTGTGTTCATTTTGTTTAGTTCTTTTTCGTAACACATTTAATGTTTAGTATTGAGCTTAGAAAAAATTCGCAGTGTGAGATAGGCGAGTTTAGCAAAAAACTCCTTAAAAGGCAAGATAGGCAAAAAGTATTTTAAGTCAAGTGATAGCAACTGTATGAGTCGTACGATTTTTAATCAAGGCAAAGCCGGGCCATGGCATATATATATATATATATATATAATATATGTGTGTGTGTGTGTGTGTGTGTGTGTGTGTGTGTGAAAGGGCCTGAAAAAAACCCAAGCCTTGTTTGAAATTGATAGACGGAAATTGAGGGCCGTCGATTGCTGTATGAGGTCTTACGTTCAAATTTTTACGCTAGATAACACGCTCTCTCCCAGAAACTGTAACTGCTCGGTTGCCCATGGTGCTAGTCAAATATATATATATATATATATATATATATATATATATATATATATATATATATATATATATATATATATATATATATATATATATATGTGGGTCTGTGTGTGGGTTGTGTGTGTTTGCGTGTTTTGTGTGCGTGTGTGTGAATGTGTGTTAAACAATTATTTGATACCGTAAAATGTTATTATTGCTTTAAATGGGAAAAATGTCAACATAGAATATCTGAGGAACCTTTCGACCAAACTTACGTCAGATAAAACCGTTGGAAAATATATATATATATATATATATATATATATATATATATATATATATATATATATATATATATTATAACAGGGACGACGGAAAACAATTTATGGGACTATGGGGGAGAACAAAACTGGCGCACGATTAAAATATAAAATCGTAACAAATGAAAATTATTAAATCAATTCAATTTTTAAAGATAATAAATTGCTAAACAAACCTGAAAATTCCACCAGAAATAAATCGGGAGAAAAGGAAAATCCTCTGCCAATTAATGTTCTTCTTTTGGGAGAACATCATTTTTTAATGTCTGATTATAAGCTTTTAAATGACGTTTATCTTGGTCAAGATTTATTTAATGATTTGTTTTTTACGGCTTATCAACCCTTTTCAGGTTATTTAAAGCCAGAAATATTTTAAGAATATATGTTTTTATAGATAATAATGATTGAGTGATAAAAGTTTTATTAATTAACATATAGCTGGAGCGAGAAGTGGATTCATAGATTTCCTAAGGTTATTTGTGCATAAGTGAATATAACGAACCCAACGGCAATTGGAACTCGGCTCTCCGATTAACAAGTCCGAGCCATTATCCATTACACCACCCGCACATCCAAGAATAAAGCAACTGTGATGAGTTTATATATCATTAATAATAAACAAATACTTAACAAAAACTGAAAAAAAACATTTAAAAGGTGAGAAACTAGTCTTCTTAGTTAAAACAACCAATAATTAACAAAACTATTTTAAAATTCAAAGTAACAATCGTCTTCTATTTGCCGTGTCCCTTCCGGACGTGGATGATCATGGCACTCCACAACTTCTTGTTCTTTGTAGCTCTTCGTTTCTCTTTTTGCGATCTCTCCTAACCCTGAGCCTTTTCTATAAATATTTTCATGGTAATTGTTCTGATGGGCTTTTCCTCTTTGGTACCTAGACTTTATGAATTTAAGCACAGTACTAGATTGGCAGCAGGTTCTCAATATTTTACAGTTGAAATGGCTAGATGCAACCGTAAGTTCTATGCTAACAGTTTCTTCTGTCGTACTTCTCGCTTGTGGAACTCTCTTCCGGCTTCTTACTTCTTAGTTAACTTTGATCTTCAAAAATTTTTAATCTAATCTTGTCTTCTTAATTCCTCTTCTTTTTTGCTTATTGTTATCCTTAATAGTGTCTTTTTTTTGTTTTTTGTTTTTTTTTTTTTTGTTGTTGTTGTTTTTTCATATTTTCTTACATTCAATAATCCTTTGCGACTGGGCTTTATTGCCTTGCTTGGGGTAAAATGATTTTAAAACATCCCTGTTCTACCCACCATTTGCACAAGATAGTTATGCTTTTCTCTGGCCCTCTGGCCTTCAATATGTCATGTGTGCGTCAAATTCTCCGAGCCTTCTTTCCCCATTATGTATCCTAGAAATTTCCACTGTCTTTTTCTGATTCTAAATAAAAGTGACATTTTAGTCTTCATTTTTGCTAAAACTTTTTTCGTTATCCACATGCACTGTCTATGGTATTTTCAGCATCTCTTTTTCATCTATGAGAAGGTTGTCTAGCATACACTGCCATATAGGAGGACCGATATTACATAACAGTTCAGTATTCTTTTCTTTGTTTCTAATGAAATCTTTCTGTTTCTTAAGACATTACTTAGCTTTTGGAAGGCATCTTTTGTTCTTCCACTGCATCTTCGGATTTCGGTGTCACATTATCCTTCCGCTATTAAGGTATTTCTTAGATATTTAAATTTTTGTACTTGCTTAATCTTGGTATCTCCAATTCATAGTATGCATCTTGGGCTGTTCCTTTCACTGGCAACCACACAATCTGTCATCTTAAAAGTGACACGTAATTTAAAATGTATTCAAATTCTCGTAGTCAATGTAATACCCAATCATTGAAGATCACAAATATTAACATTAAAAAATATTATCACATTCATGTAACATTGAATACATTCAAAAACTAAAAATAATTAACGCATCATATTTTAAACAGACGCACACATTCAACATACGATTTTAAATCAATGGTAAATTCGAAATACTTAACAAACGGTATACATGAACCGTCTTCATAATTATTCATAATTTCAATCCTAATTTGCTGGAATTAATCTGCCAGCTTGAGAAAACATATATTACTGTATGAATGAAAGCAAAACTGTATTGCATTACTTACCGATCCGAATATCACGGCCGTAATATATTGTCTTGGTAAGATTGAACTTATGCCAAACAGGCTATTTTGGAAAATAGACGACGCCGCTGAAAATAGATCAAAACCACAGCTGCAAATCTGTTAGGTTTTTAGATTAATGAATGCGTTTCGAACAGTTTAAGCGATTTTTTAAGCGTTAAGTGGATGTCTTCCGGCATTCGTTTCAATTTTAATTCGACTTAGAGTCAAGAAAATTGATCATTTGAAAGAAACGCTTATTGTCGGAAACATTCAAAGGGGAAAAAAAGTAATCAAATTAATCTAACAAATGAAATAATAATTTTTAAAAAAAAGCTCAACTTAAAATCAATTTTTGTAAATTTCAGATGATCCTTTTTTTTCCGTATCTATCATGTCTGGTATCATGTATTTCTTGGCGAATCAAAGCAACACCATGCCAGATCGATCGAGACATGGCTCAACAACAGCCCCACATGCCATTGACTTACTCTAGGTTACAAGTGGGCGAATGGGGCGACAAACAACAAGCTACCAACGCAGAGTACAACGATCGGAACGTGAAACGTTCGCACCGTCGATGCTTTCAGAGAAAAAGCGGGCATACCTTACAATGCTGGAACACCTGAGAGCCACCGAAAACAGCGCATACTCGAGGAGGTTGTCTGTGTGTTCTGCCCTCAGGTGCCCACCAACGATTAAAGCAGTCGACGGACTGATGATGATGAGGAGGATGATGATTTGGCATAGTTTAACAATTTCCAACTATGATTGAGAATGAGGTTTTAGAATAACTTGATTTTAGTTATAACTATCCTATAGTTAATTGGAAAGGAGATGGGCGCCGCCAAGCAATCTGGAAATTCACAGAAAGGATCATGTGGAAGAAGAATCAAAGCAACGCCCTGCAGGATAGGTCGAGAAGTGGATCAACAACGGCTTCGTGTCCCATTGACTCACGCTAGGATAGGCGTGACAAGTGAGTGACTAGTGTGACAAACACAGTCAAGCTACAAACGCAGTGTACAACCGCAATTTTCTAAGCGTGCTTACATGTGGCACTAGGCCGAATGTATGGAGCATGCAGCGAGTATCGAAATCACTACTAAGTCGTAACTGTTCTGACGAGACAAGCTTGCTAACCATTATACCACGTCGAGGTGCCCACCAACGCAAGGTACAACGATCGGAAGGTGAAACGTTCGCACCATCTGAGAGAAAGAGTGGGCACCTGACATGACAATGCCGGAACACCTGAGAGCCACCGCCAACAGATCAGACTGGTGAAGGTTGTTTTTTCTGCCCTCAGATTCCCATCAGCGACTGAAGCAGACGATGGACTACTACTGCTACTACTACTGCTACTGTTGCTACTACTACTATTACTACTGCTGCTACTACTGCTACTGCTACTACTACTACTACTTTTGCTACTACTACTACTACTGCTACTACTACTACTACTGCTACTACTACTACTACTAGTACTAATGCTAATACTAGTACTAATGCTAATACTACTACTACTGCTGCTGCTGATGATGATGATGATGATAATGATGTTGTTGATGCTGCCGCTGATGATGATGATGTATTTAATAAACCGACATTTAATTTTATGCATTTAAGAAATCCATTTTAAACTGAATATAGTTGAGTTTTACGTATCTAAGCAATTTACGTGTCATGTTGGGACTTTTCAAAGTCAATATTATAGGGGACAAGGAAATTGAACATAGAATAGGCAGCGCCAGGGATAGTTTCCTACTACATCGTAAACCACTACAAAAACAAAACAATAACCTAAATCTCGAGTAATGAGCTTAAATAGACTCGTCAGATCGGCACTTTCATAAGGATGCCATGTACGGCGTCAAACACGTTCAGAAATATCTAAACTATTAGCTGTGTGCATCAATGATTGAATATGGTTTCGAGGGAATAAAGCCTGTAGGTCTTAGCGAGAACCATCCTTTGAATATTGTGGACTTGAGCAAGAAAATCACAAACAAAAGACTGTACCAAATAACAGAAAGTACATCACTTAAGGACTGCCAACTGTAGCAACAACTAAAATGGATAGCAGATGTAGCTGAAACAGAAAATAATAACATAATCAAGTCGTTGATGCTCAGCATTACTTCGAAGAAAAGGTCAAGTTCCCATCAATACTGGAAAGACTGATAATAGTGAAACCTATTTTCCTGAATACTGTCATAAGAGGAACATTGTATAAATTTCAACCGTCAGTCACAATGACTGCTCGGTGAATTATTTTTTTTTTTTTTTTTTACAGTGAGATTCACCCTGGACAAGACCTGGGGGTCACTGAAGATTGGATTGTGTAAATGAATGACAAAACAGGGAATGGGATGGGTACTACGAAGTCAAATATTCTTTAGAGCTACAAAACATAGGAAGTTGTAAAGAGCCGTGATTGCTTATCGTCATGAAGGGACACAGCTCATAGAAGAAGAAGAAGAAGAAGAAGAAGAAGGGGGAGGAGGAGGAAGATACGGGGTAAAATTTAGAGACTTCTTTCCAGATAACTTCCAGAAATCTTGTCAGAAAAAAGCACATCCGAGGCCAATAAAGAAAATAATTATTGCTCAAAATGATTACATATCCCCCAATTAAATACAAGAAGTAGAATCATATATTTAAAAATAGGTGAAAGAAACAAAAGACTAAAGCATAAATATAGATTATAATCTCAAAGTGCATTCAGTGCATTCAGCCAGTGAACGGAAATAGTGCAATTATATTTAATAGCTTTTTAATAAACGTACATCTGAGTTTATACAAGGCTACAATCATTAGATGGAACTACAATACATTGCCTACATATAGCTATTTACCAAGCGCGACTAAATTATTGGGTTGATGAGCGCTAAGCTTTTTACCCATGTAAATTAATAACTGCTTTTTCGTTTCACGCCAATTTGGATTATGAAAGATTTTATAGATACAGGCTATTTTCGGATAACGGAGAAAGCAATACATACATATAGATTTAGAAAGATTGTTTTACTATCATGTTTACCCTGTAGAAAGCCCAGGAGCCACTCTAGGTAGACCGTTACAGAGTAATAGGCACAGTTTATACGAATATGTGAGGAAGGTAATGGCTGACCCTAGATTTGAACTGGTTAAGACTGTAGTGATCGGTAAAAAATATTCTCTTGGGTATTGGTTCCACAGAATATTGGTTCGAAGAAAGAAGCTGCTTGGATGGAACTTACATATCACTAATGGAATTAGGAAGAAATGAAGAAGGTTTATTACAAGGTGGGTAAGATGGCAGGTCCGAGGCGTGAAGGTTAGAATTGGTGGATCCATGGAAATAGCGATAGAGAAATAAAAAGACTTGCAGCATCTACAAAATAGGATAAAAATCCATTAATTCCTTGGATATTACGTTTCTGATACGAAACAAAAAGAGCAGATACAGGCTTTCGAGAAGATTTTAACCAGAAAACGGGCATTCTTCAAAAGTTGAACCACGCTGGATGTTGAAGCTCTCAGAGGATAGCTCTGTAAAACACGCTCTATATGACGTTGGTTGAGAGCACATTTTCTTTATTATTATCTGCTCAAATGTGCAGTCTGTTAATGTTTAAAAAAAAAAAAACGGGCATTTAATAATGAGTATATACAACGTAGAGAATATTCAAAATAAAATATATATATATACCGTGACTCTTACGCTGTAATCTTCTACCTCGAATGTTTTGTACAGGGTGAACATTACTGAAACTATATATATATATATATATATATATATATATATATATATATATATATATATATATCCTAATAAGTCAGGTACTACCTATCTCGGTTTCACCACATGGGGCTATCATACATATAAAATACTAGCAGTAGAGCCCAGCGTTGCCCAGGGGATGTAACAGTAAGAGATAGATCAAGTATCGACCATCATAAAGACTGAAAAATAAAATTGACAAAGATTATTGTTTAAGGTTGACGGGCACGTATGTCTTAATTGTTTTTTTTGTTTTTTGTTTTTTTTGTTTTGTTTTGTTACGAATTGTTCAAACCCAAACTCAAACAATTGTTTTCAATCGTTATGAGTCTACCGATTGAATAGAATTTTATTATAAACAATTGTCTTGTAAATGGAATTTTTAAAGCATTCTGAATGTAAAAATAAAGAAAAAAGTGTGCAAGACAATAAGAAACACTACCTGCCAAAAAAAAGTTTTGTTGAAATCGGTTGAAAAATGTAGGAAATCCGATCCCATATATAAACGAACACAGACACACACACACAAACAACCTGGGTTTTATAATAAGTATAACTCAATATGAGTTGTCCCCCTTTCATTCTTGCGACAGCGATGCCTCTTAATCGTGTTTTCAAATTGATTTCGTGCAAAAACAATTGTGTTTTTCCAATTTTTCATACAATCGGTATTAAGATACAATTATGTTATGAGCATTTTCACTTTGTAAAATTAAATTTACATGATTTTTCACACAGTCAATGGATGATAAATTATTGAAATAAAAATGGCCACACAGGGAAAAGAAAGAAAGGAAGAAAAAAAGTGGGAAAAAGAAGATGAAGAACAGAAAGGAAGGGAAGGTAGTAAAGGAAACAGTAAGTAGTGTGTCTTCATATGAGCGATGGTCAGAGACTGGAAAGGAAGGGAAAAAGAAGGAAAAAGAGAGAAGAGAGGACCTATTTAATAATAATTTTGTAGTAATCAGGCAGTAAGTTAGACTTAAAAGTATTTTCTGAAATTAATGAAAAAAACAAATTATATAAAATAATAAGAAATAAACCCAAAAATATGAAAGAGAAATAAATCAGAATTAAAGAGTATTAAAATAACCAATATATCAGAAAAGTATATTAAGAGAAATGTAAAAAAAAATTAAATGGAGGGAATATAAATATCTTAGATGAATACATCCAAATCAACATATTTCAAATTAAACTTACATTAATTAATACCCATACACAAGGAAAAAAATTAATATTTGAAATTTAAAATATAATTAAAAAAAACAATAAAAATAAGATAAAATAAAAATCGACCCATAAAATAGAAAAGATGGATGA